TGGATTATGAGGTACACTATACTGCTAAAAGGAAGAAGGATATATTTAAAGAAAATAAAATAATTTTTATAAAACTGTATCACAAATCATAAATTTTATTTTCAATAAAACTCTATCACCATAGACAAAGATATAATATTTAAAGAGTTTCTATAAAATTTTAACTCAAATTTTCTATTTATATATTTATTAACTATTTTTTTAATAAAATGATATCTAATTAGACAAGTATTATTAATATAAATAATTATTTATTAATTGATCTAAAAAGAGTTTCTATAAAACTATATCACAAATTACCTATTTATTATAAGTTTTTTTTATAAAAGAAAATCAAATTAGACAAGCATTATTAAGATAAAAAATATTTATTAATTAATATAAAAAGAGGTTTGAAAAGAGTTTCTATAAAACTCTAACACAAATTACCTATTTATCTATTTATTATGAATTTTTTAATAAAAGGAAATCTAATTAGACAAGAATTATTAATATAAAAAAATATTTATTAATTGATATAAAAAGTGTTTTTTTAAAGAATTTCTATTAAACTGTAACACAAATTACCTATTTATTTATTTATTATAAATTGATTTCCAGAAAATATAATAATTTCTATAAAACACTACCACAAATTATCTATTTTATTTTCTTTAAAATTCCATCACATATAACTTGTTTTTATTTATTTATTGTGAGTTTTTTTATGAAGGAAATCTAATTAGACAATTATATATTTAAAGAAAATAAAATATTTTTTTAAAAGAGTTTATATAAAATTTTAATAAAAATTACCTATTTATGTATTTATTATGAATTTTTTAATAAAATATAATATAACTAGACAAAAATTATTAATATAAAAATATTTAATAATTGGTATAAAAAATAAAATAATTTTTCTAAAACTCTAACACAAATTATCTTTTATTATGAGTTTTTTAATAATAAAAAAAATCTAATTAGACAATGATATATATATATTTAAAGAAAATAAATAATTTATATAAAATTCTACCACAAATTAACTATTTTATTTGCAATGAAACTCTATCACATTAGATAAGGATATATTTAAATAGTTTTTATAAACTCTAACACAAATTACCAAAACTTTACCACAAATTAAGTATTTTATTTTCTTTAAAACTTTATCAAATATAATCTGTATTTATCTATTTATTATGAATTTTCTAATAAAATAATATCTAATTAAATAAGGATATATTTAAACAAAATAAAATAATTTCTATAACTCTATCACATTAGACAAGGATATATTTAAAGAAAATATATAATAATATAATAATACATATAAATAAAATATAAATGTTAAAGAATTTGAACATTTCAGTATTTATTTTTTAATATAAAAAATATTTATTAATTAATACAAAAAGAGAACTCTATCACATATAAGTATATAACCCTTGTATTTATCTATTTTTTATGAGTTTTTTAATAAAAGAAAATCTAATTTTACAAAGATATATCTAAATAAAATAAAATAATTTCTATAATATTCTAACACAAATTACATATTTAAAGAAAATAAAATATAACTAGGGTCTTCCAAAAATCACAAACTCCATATAATAAATTTTTATATCAATTTCAATCTAATGTATAATTAGTATAATTGAATTTCTATTGTAAATTAAAAATTATACTAAATTTCAAACTATCTAATAAAATTCAAATTACAAATTACCTAATAAAATTCAAATTACCTAATAAAATTCAAATACCTAAACAAATTTGTTACTTTGCAAAACTCAAATATTTCACTATTTAAATAAAAAATTATTATTTAATAAAAAATAAAATATACATATGTCAGTATTAATATAAAAACATAAAAAAAATTATTAATTTACGAAACTTAAACTCTATCACCAATTTCAAAATATTTCAGTATTTATTTATTAATATAAAATAAATTTTTATTAATCAATATGAAGACAAAAATTTTATAAGTTACAAAATATTCATCACGTGCATCGCACGTACCTTTTCCTGGTATATATATATATATACACACACACATATATATAATGAATTTGGACTTGGATGTCCATTGGAATTAAATAGATCTAGGTTAAGAGTTCAATCTTTTCAGAGCCATATTCTATTTAAACTTGGATTATAGTGAATCCAATTGGAGAGACAAACGATTGCCTTCGTCCCGTTGAATTCTAACTAGGCATGATAAGTTCTGCAACGAGCATAGGTTTTAACTAAAAAACAAGTTACATAAATTTTGTACACGAGTGACTGAAGTTGAGCAGGTTTAGGTTTAAATGAATTCTGGTTATAAACGGGTCAATATTATTAATTTGTTTAGTTAATCATATTGTATTTGAATTGAGAAGTTCAATCTGTTTATACTTAATTAACTATATTTGTTATAAATAAATTTATACTTAAATTTCAAAATAATTACTTAAACTTGTGTCTTATAATTTACTATTCAATAATTTGGTTGGATTGAAAGCCATATTTTTTTTAATATTTATTATTATTATTATTATTTTTAATATTTATTATTTAATTGAGTATTATTAATCACTTAAGTAATATAATGTTTTATTTAGTAAATAGATCTTAAACGGATTACACGTGAAATACGTTTAATAAACAAGTCGGGTTAGTGTTAAAATTTCTTGACACAAATATTTAATAAATTATAAAAAATAGTGTACAAACTAAGTAATATATACTGTCTAACTAGGGATGACAAGTTCTTCAACGAATAGCTTCTAACAAAAAAAAAACAAGTTACATAAATTTTGTACACCTTGGCTGATGTGTACTGACTGCCACATGAGCAATCACATTATAAGAGAGAGAGTATATAACTATATATGCTAAGTAAATCACCATCGTCATTTTATTTTTTTATTTTTATTTTTACTTTTCAATATTAATTTTTTTCTAACCAAACAAAACCTAAAAAAAATTGTGATATATTATTAATGACCTTAATTATTTTCGTTTCAAAAAATATGCCTTACTATCATTTTTCATGGATATATGAGTAGAAAGAAATATATTAGTCTTAATAATGTAATTTGCTATTATATTAACAAACTTAAAAAAGAAACCTTATATATTGCATTAAAAATTATCTTAGAATTTTTTTCTTCTTCATTTTATTTTTTCTGAATGTTTCAAACAAACGCACACAAATCCACATTATTGCACCTGACTGAGAGCATAATTTATAAACTTATAATGTGCAGGTGATGTTACTTGCGGGTACAGACACATCTTCACTGACAATAGAATGGGCTATGTCAAATTTACTTAACCATCCCGAGGTATTGAAGAAGGCAAGAGTTGAGTTGGACTCTCATGTGGGCTAAGATCGCTTAATCGACGAATCAGATTTCTCAAAATTGAATTACCTTCACAATATCATTTTAGAAAACTTTCGATTGTACCCGGCCGCACCACTTTTAGTACCACACATGGCCTCGGATGATTGTACCGTTGGTGGATACGACGTGCCACATGGCACAATATTGTTGGTGAATGCATGGGCCATCCACAGGGACCCTAAGGTTTGGGATGATCCTACAAGCTTTAAGCCTGAAAGGTTTGAAGGTGGGGAAGTTGAGGCGCACAAGCTAATGCCATTCGGGATGGGTAGGAGGTCATGTCCTGGTGCTGGGCTGGCCCAACGTGTGGTGGGCTTGACTTTGGGGTCGTTGATTTAGTGCTTTGAGTGGGAGAGAGTAAGTGAGAAGCATGTTGATATGACCGAAGGAAAAGGGGTTACAATGCCCAAAGTTGAGACATTAGAGTGCATGTGTAAAGCACGTGACATCATGAAGAAGGTAGTTGTTTCTGAAGCAACATGATGATTGTTTGAGCAAATTTCCTAAATACAATACTTGCCTACTCACTAGTGAGCAGGAAGTTCATGCTTACTATCAATGTGGCGCAACAATAAAATGACAAGTGTCTTACAATGTAAAATAACAATAATAATAATAATAAAAGATTTAAGAAGTTTATGATCCAAATCAAACCCATATCTGACTATCTTTTTCTTATGCTACTCTATTGCCCTAATCCCTAAGCCATAAGGAATCACAACTACAAGTAGCTTGCTCAAATCAAATCCATGGAAGGAAATGGATTAGGATTTTTTATTGTAGGTGATAAAATTGTGTGAACTAATATATGGATTATATATATATATAATTAGGATTTTTTTGGATTTGATTTGGATTTTATGATAAAGAGAATAGTCAAATTAGGATTTGATTTAGATTTTATTTTAAGCTAAATAAATTTTCAAATCTTATTTTATTTTATTTTATTTTATTAGAGGGACACTTGTCACTATATTATTGAGCCACATGAGTAATAAGCATAATGTTTCTATTCACCTATAAATAGGCAAATATCGTTCTTTTTGTAATATATTTTAAGTTTGTAATAGCTTAAATATGCACCATACCGTTTTTAACCAATTACTGCATCGTACGTGTCGTTGTTGTAATATATTTTAAGTTTGTAATAGCTTAAATTTTGTTTATTTTTTTTGTTTATTATTATTATTTTTTTTTGAAGTTAAAACAAATTTATTAGATGAAAAAGGAAGAATATATAAAGTGGCCCAACGGAAATGAGCCCAACCCACACAAAACGTGCCCAAAGCATAAGCCCAATGAGCTTCAAACACAAATACAACTCACACCCATTATATCTCAGAGGAGTGATGCTCTGGTTGCAACATCTGCTTGAGGGGGAGTAAATTAAACATAAGATTTCATTTCACTAACAAATTAAACATCAAATAAACTTGAAGCCTTAAATCATTCATTACAGAAGAAGAAGAAGAAGAAAAATAATTAAATAAAACTAACTGCTGATTTGCATCAATTTTTTTAATTAAAAAACCTTTTGAAAAGTATTATCGGCGTATCCCAATAATATCCAAAAAGTATCCTTAATGTACCCCAGTGATATCCGAAAACTAGAATTTTTTTTTTTAAAATTAAAAATTGGATACTTCTCCGGAGTATCAGACACATGTCTGGGCATATCTTAGGCGTATTTGGACCGGACACGTGTCCAATATTGTCATGATGCCTTCCAAGAAGTATATGTGCTTCTTAGAATTTACCTTTCAAAAAAAAAAAAGAAAAAAAAGAAAAAAGAAAAAAAGAAGAGGTCTTTCTATAACACTGTGAGTCGTGACACTACAGGCTACACAATTGTGGCCAAGTTTTATGTCTTATGCCAAACTTTGAGACCTTTGAATTCCTTTTGAAAATAATATCAAATTTTTAGATTTGTACAACTAACGATTACAATAAATATCAAATACAACATTTCCACGTTCTACAATACATCATAAGTTCTTTTTTTAAACTTAGTAATATAATTGGAACTTTAAACCAGCACTAAATTACAGAAATTCTACTTATAATTCATGACCTTTTAATGTATTAACTAGTTAACAAGCAGTATGAGGAATTCTAGACCTAACTAAGAAAAAAAGACCACCATTCAACATGTTATATGGGCATCGTAAATGCAAAAAGAAAACAAAAATATATTAACTCCAAGCTCTAAACTGGACAAAAATACATATTTAGGGCGTAAACTGAGGCAGAAACAGTTCTAGCAACGCTCCTTCTCTCTGTTGTGCAGCCGGAAAAGGTCCACTACCTGCCAATATATTCTCATTGTCGATCACAATTATTTTATAATTTTTTTTAAAATTACTTAAATTATTCTGTAAAATATTATAATCAATAGGAGTGATGCATGATACCTCACATATATAGTTATTTTGTCTATAAAAATACGTAGGCAATTATAAATTCTTATAACAAAAACCATAAAACCAAGAATACAATCAAGAAAGAAAATGACGGAAAAATAAGTTATGCACCGACACAAAAAGATATACGTGATTCAGCATATAACCTATGTCTATTCGGAAGATTTCACTATCCCAAAAAAGCAATATATTACAAGTTCTAAAACCCCCCAACCCTTTGTCTCTCTCTTACCCTCTAAAACCCTTTTAGTGTTCTCTCTTCCCACATCGCAAACCCTAGCATCCTTATCTCTTGGATTACAAGAGAGCCACCTAGAACGTGCATGGAACCATAACCAACAAGACAAAAAGGATAAAAAAAAAAAACAAAAATATTTCCTCTTTCGGTCATTACGAATCCCAACAAAATTCGGACCACAACTTCACAAAAATCATGACTTAATTTGATAGTTTTGGTTGGATTGAACCAAGTGGGTGGCCTAAACTATCTAATAATTTCTTCATAGCTCTTTGGTCAAATCTCTAAGCCAATTCATTTGTCTCATGAGTATAAATTTTGCAAATGTCTCATATATATATATATATATATATATATATAAAAATGCTTGAAGATTTCTAGCTGCTCCTTACAGCCACACTCCCCAACTTGTATGTATGCACAGAGAATTGAGTTTTGATTTGATTGTAAGCTAGGGGGAAGATGACTTATAAATTCTTTAATGGAACGATAAAAAAACAGTGTGTGTGTGTGTATATATATATATAGAGATATACGAACCTGTTGGATATAAATGAGACCACGGGGAAAGGTTGACATCGTTGCCTTGCCCAAACTCTGGTTGGCGAACGTTATTATCATCCTCTATCACACTGCTTGGGCTCATGTGATCATCAACATGCATGTTTTGTCCATGGAGGAGGGTCAAGGTTGGTGGCAATATGTTGTCCGCAAGCTGAGGCTGATTTCTACAAAAACCACCATACCAAGTTTCTATTAGTTAGATGATGATTTGAACTATTCTTTTGTACGTGTGTATATATATATATATATATATATATATATATATATATATATATATGTCTATGTATCAGATATATTTTTCCAATTTCAATAAATGCACCTTAGGGGAAGAAGGCCATTGGAACCCAAAAAGTTGAGGATTTGTATTTGTGGGTCTCTCTGTGGAAGCCAATCCAACATACTGTTTGGATTCCTTGTAAAAGTTGCAGGCGGATGCATCTATATTTATAAAATAACCAACGAAATTATATATGGGTATATATTCGTAGAATTATTGAAAAAAAAACTTTTGAGCTTATTTGGGTGGTCAGAAGACATGTTCTCAAATAACCGTTTCTGAGAGAATAATAAAATACAGTTTTGAAAAGAAAATTTTTTAAACCAAGTTCTCATAAAATTGCCAACAACCAATTCAGTAGGATTTTGTAAGTTTAGAAGGATGACTTTTACATACCTGTGAAGTTGACTGTGACTTGTTAGAGTCATAACTTTCCTCCATAACTAGCTGTTGAAACAATAATTTGCTGTGTTATTGAGTGCAATTAATCTTATCTGGAAATAAAGAAAGGAACTAACTATAAGAGATTTATCTTACCTTGCGCACACGGACACGTTTAAGAGTCTGCTCAAGTATATGCTCTCGGTACTGTGCCTCACACAAAGTTGTGATTTCAATAGGATCACCTTCAAAAATCCTATAATAAATTTAAAAAGAAATAGATTATAGTGATTAATTAATTTCTTTCTTGATAACTTTTTATTTTTTTTAGAAAAAATGCATGTAACTTTGGATGGTTGCATTTATTCAAATGGAGTAATCTCACTTGAACATCCAAGAATTATTGGGCACCTCAGGGATCGAGTACTCAATAACATAGCGTCCCACTTTTTGTTTTGTTTTGTTTTGTTTTTTTATTTTTTTATTTTTTTTTATCCCGGCAAAAATCATACACCCATGTCTCTATGGGGATTTAAACCTGACCTTTCTCTTTGAAAGGAGAGGAGGTACATGCTGTACGGATGTGATACAGCCCTTGGTATGTACGCATCTCATTCAATAGATACTCACAATTTTCCTCCATCATTCAAAATAGTCACTTTCTATTGATTGAAGGCACTACTATATTATTGGTATTCTTAGGGTACCAACTAACTTCGTGTAGACACCATCCAAAAAAAAATTTGCAATTCGGACCTAAAACTCTCACACATAATGCGCGCTAATGCATCCAAAGGAGATCACCCTGGAATGGGTTAGAGTTTTAAGTTTGAGAATCATTATTCAGAGTTAATTTGTAGTGTGTATAGATGCATATATTTACAATTAATAGATACCTTAGTCGTCTTTCCATATCCTCCATCTGAAACTTGCATCTAAGGATTTCTTGCTGAATGCACTGTAATCCATGTAATAAAATTGTTTTATTTTACTTACTAGTACATAAAAAAAGCTCTGGAAACTAAGCAATTTACTTCATGAAAATCCCAAAATATATTGTGCATAAATTAAATACCTCAATCTGAGAATCAGCACTTGCTGGGCTGCTTCACATAACAGCAAAGAAGACAATAAAAGTATTTAAAAAAAAATAAATAAAAAAAAAGAAAAGAAAAGAAACGAGAAGCTATATATGTTATTGAATTAAGTATCAGTAAGAAAAAATCACAAGTAGGAAACAAAAATCAATCATTAGTATTGATGATATAGACAATAAAGGGTAGTGAAAAGGGGAAGAAACCAAACCTTTCCTCTTGATGGCTTGGATTGGCTTTATTCTTCAACTTACCAAGAGCTCTTTGAAGATACTGCAAAATTCATAATTTAACTTTAATTAAATCCACTACAGTTTTAAATCTATAGTGAGCCCATAAAAAACAATTTAGGGAGTGTTAATTACCTCTTGATTGTTCATCCTTTGATATGATTGCATGAAGACATACCCAAATCAATATCAAAAAGGAAATTAAGAGAAAAAAACCATCAAAACCAACAAAAGGTGAGAATTGTTTTAGAACTTCATGCTAGAACCAAAAATCTTCTTACCGTCCTCGTTCATGATCTGGAAGATTCAGATACCGTATCATAATCTCTTCGACGCTGTCACAAATTAAATTATACTTTATGGATCAATATAAATAAAATAAAATAAAAAAAGAAAAAGAAAAAAAGAAGTGAAAATGATGTTGTGAGCAATTTGGAGCACCTTCTGTTTCCAGAGAAGGTAGTGACTTTTCCGGAAGGTGAAAACAAGATGAGAGCTACATCAACATCACATAGAACTGAAAGTTCATAAGCTTTCTTGGTAAGCCCATTTCGTCTTTTTGAGAAAGTGACCTGCCTATTTGTTGTGTTCTCAATCTTCTTGATTGGAACTTTTACTCTCCCCATCTCTCTTCTTCAAAATATATTCTCTTTCTTTGGTTTAGATCCTAGGAAGAAAACTACTGTATAGACAGGACCTAATCTCTCTCTCAGCGCTAAACCTGAAGATCTATATATATTTTATAGAACCGACACACACACACACACACATATATATAATTGAGTAAATAATAAATGTTTATGGTTGGAATGATTAAAATCAACCAAGTTAAACAGTAAGACGAGGAGGAAAGCTGGCATTGAAGTAACTGCATTAGACAATGGATTTTGTCAGTATCAGGCCATTCACACAAGATGACGATAGAGAGAGGTGTTGTGTTGCCTGGTTAGTTAGGGATTTTGCATGCAGGGTCATTCTTGGAACTTCCTGATTAACTTTAACCGACAAATCTCTTCATAAAATTACAAAAATCTCCTTGTTCAATAATATTTTGAAATCAGTCCATTGTGTAATTTATTAAAATTAAATTAAATTAAATTCATTAGCTTCTTAAATTTTTATTTGATATATAATTTAGAATTTTTGAATCTTAAAATTAAAAGAATTAAACAGATTTTACCATATAAATGGGTCGTGTTTTCTTACGGGTTACACAAACCATTAATATCAAACATGTATCTGTATTACCATTACAACATATTAATCTTTTACCAATGCTCTTCCCGAGAGTGCTAGTATAGGTGATATAGTACCAGCGCTTCTACTGAAGCGCTGGTATAGGTGTTACAGTACCAGCACTTTAAGGAAAAATATTGGTATTAGTGTTACAGCACCAGCGCTTCAGCGCTGGTGTAGGTGTTACAGTACCAGTGCTTTAACGAAAAGCGCTGAGATTGGTGTTACAGTACCAGTGCTTCTATTGAGGGAGGCTTTAAGAAAAAGTACTAGTATTGGTGTTACAGTACCGGCACTTTAAGAAAAAGAGTTGGTAGAGGACCCTTCCATTCCCTCCAATTTTTTCTCCTTCCCTCCAATTTTGCTCTTCCCTCCACTTTTTTCCCTCCGCTTATTTATGTATGTAGAATATTACATGTCTAAACTGCGTCGTTTTCTTTTGTTCCGTTAAAACACTATATTCCACTTTCCCATTTCAATTTGATTTAGCCCTAATTTATCCATCTCCCCTTTTGGTTCGTCCCTCAGCCTTCTCTTCCTCTCTGCTATCTCGATCTGCTCCGTCTCGATCTCTCACGCTCGGTCTCCATTATAGCCTCAATTTCAGATTCTCTCTCTTCCCCTCACGGATCCTACTCATCCTCTCTCTCTTGGTGGTAAGTACCTCTTGAAGCTTTCTCTTTGTCGATATTATATATATATATATATATATATATATATATATATTTAGGGAAATCTCCATAACTAAAATAATCTTTATGTTTTTCTGATTTTTGGTTTATGATTCTTATTATGGTTCTGATTGAAATATTTTTTTCAGTCTATTATATCCATTGACTTCAAAGCCTCGATTGCGATCATTTCACATTTCAGGTAGATCTATCTATTTTCGTAGCTTTTTCAAATTGGGATTCCAGATTTTAGTTGTTTTGTGTTGCCGGGAAAATTATTGTTCTTAGTTTCGTCAATAAAATTTTGACTGAGGAATCCAGGTCGAGGTTGGACGATTTGGATCTTTGATTTCAACCGCTGAATTCAAAAAAGGTTCAAAATTTATTCATATCTATTTGTAATTCGCCTCCATATATATATACATGCAAATTTTTTTTAGGGTTTATTAACTTTATATTCTGTGTATAAAATTTTTTCCCCTCTTCAGACATGCGTTGATGAATATATGCTGAAGTTTCGTGCTTTTCTGGGTTATACTTATTCATTATATTATATTTATCCACAAAGAGTCCTTATTATATGCTATTCACTAAAATTACAACAAAAGTGGATCACTTTTTGTGTCATTACTTTTCTACAAAACTTTGTATAGGAAAATATCTCAATTCATTAAGAAATTGAATATTTTTGTGCAAGAGAGAAAGGATGAAGATTGATAAATGGGAGTATAAAAGGATGAAGATCGATTAATGGGAGTATAACCACAGATAAAATGGATTCTACTTACCCTGAATTGATCTCCAACTTCCCAAGTCCATTGCACTCCAAATTCATTAATTATACTTTAACTATAAAAGAAATTATTTTCAAAATGAATATTAGGCTCAACAATATCTTATATCCTTTAGATACATTAACGTAAAATTTTAATAGGACCACCATTTAAAGACAGCAAATAATTTGCTCTGATTTTCGGCCACAATATTAGTATATACCAAAATAAAAAAAAAAAATAAAAAAAAATAAAGAATAGGTCTTATGGATATTGTGATGTGCCATATCTCTTCCAAACTTGAACAATCCCAAGGAGGTTAAATACATTATACTCTGTTTCCAATATTAGTTTGGAAACAGAGTCGGCTGAAATTGTGATGTGCCATATCTCTTCCAAGTTGTCTAATTTCTTCATAAGCAATTCCTCCAAGCAAGGAAATTTAACCTGCAAAATATCAGTTTGCAGGTGATAATACCAATAACTCAACTAGTATATCTTAGTCATTAGGAGGAATAAAAAGGAGGGAAAGAGGGCATAGCTTCCCTTGAAAATAATGGTTCAAGTTTTCTTCCAAGAATTACTTGGTATCTAATGCTTGTGATATTTCATTTTAGTTCTTATTTGATTTAGATAATCATGTATAAGCAGATTAAATAAATCAACAAACGGATTAAAACACAATCACATGATATATTCATAGGGACCAGGGGTTCACACATGGTGTTATTTTTGTCCAATTACCTATATAAGATTCTTCAATTAGATGGGACATTCAAATTTAGACATAAACAACAGTACTCATAAGTTGGCAATTTCTTTAATCATATTGTATACTTTAGCACAATGTCTGGTACCTCAAAAGACTACTAATTTAATTTTTCCTCTTCTATAACGACTCGATTACATTTTTTATTAAGTGTATACTTTAGCACAACGTATTAAAAGAATTACTAAGTTGATAAAAAATTGATTTTTTTTTTTTTCTCTATTTACTTCATTTAAATCCTTTTGTTTTTGTCATGAAAGCTTAGGTGTGTGTGTATATATATATATATATATATATATATATATATTATACATGCACATGTATATTTAAACATTACATGTTCATAGCTTGTTGGGATTTCAGTTCTTTTGTGCTTTATTCATAATTTAGGGTTTTCAGTTCTGGATGTTTCATAGTAGTATGTCATGGTAGTTCAAACTTTTTTTTTTTTGGTCAGAAAACATAAGAGAACTTCAAAAAAGTTACTCTGACTCGCCTATTGGTAGCTCCAATGATTTGTTCTCCATTGTGAGGGGAGAAGAGAGAACTGGTCGTGTGCGGATGCTTGGCTTCGGGCCTACACCAAGCGATGTTTGGGGGCCCTCTCCTAGTAAAGCTGAACTGATTAATAATGCTAAAAAATCTCAAGAGGAGGCACGTGCTACACGTGTAGAGTTGCAGGAGACGATTTCTTACAACAACAGGTGGCTATGCTAATGCAGATGCAATAACAAAATTATAGTGGACAGGTATATTTATTATTTGTTTTACTCTTTATTAAATATATGTTTACTTATGCCAAGATTTCATGTATTTTGTTTTCTTATTTTGAAGGATTCTGATTCTTTAAATGCTCCTCCTAGAGTATTCCCAAATTCATTTTCTAGTCGTGATGCCAATTCAGTTAAGGTTACGAACTTTTAATTTCTCTTATATATATGTTAAATTTTCATTTATTATAATGTGCGTTTAATGAATTTATAAAAAATGTAGGGTAATTCAAATCAAATGGGCAAGAAGACTTGTTGTTGAAGATGGGGTCGTGGCTGTGCTTTTTGAATTTCCTTCGCCTTAGATGGGTTCTTTTTGAAAAATTTGTACTACATTTGTTAAAAATTCTTAATTCTTTTTGTGTGACATTTAGTACCTTTATCTAGACAATTTGGATGGTATTTTCATATTGGCAGGTTAACTTGTGGTTGTATTAGTATACATTTTTTACTAGCTTAACTTGTGGTGGTATTAGTAGTCAATTTCGATGGTATTTTTTATATTGGCAGGGTTAACTTGTGGTTGTTTGTAAAAACAATTTGAATGGTATTTTTATATTAACTTGTGTTAGGATGCATTTAGTAGCCGCGAAGAAATTTTTTTCCAAAAACAATAATGGGAAAAAAAAATGTAAATAATTTTACCAATGCATTTTTAAGAAGCGCTGGCATAGGGAAAAAAAATATTAAAAAAAAAAAAAAAAATTTCAAATAACCCTTTACCAGCGCTTTTTGGAAAAACGCTGGCAATAAGGGGAAAAAAATATATATATAAAAAAAAAAAATCAAATAACCCTTTACCAGCGCTTTTTGGAGAAGTGCTGGTATAAGGTCTTTACTTTACCAGTGTTTCTTCAAAAGTGCTGGTAAAGGCTTACCGACACTGGATTTACCAGCGCTTTTGAAGAAGCGCCGGTAGTTGAATTACTAGCGCTTTTTTTTTAAGGCTTTTACCAGCGCTTTTGAGCGCTGGTAAAAACCAAAACTGTTATAGGGTACATTGCATTAATTCTTATATCCATAATGAAAAATCAAACATGTCTATGTATTACATTGCATTAATGCTCACATCCACAATGAAACACCCTTCATTTTATATACAATCCATGATGAAAAATCAATATTTGTACCCTAACTGTACGTAGAAGATTGCTAGAGATTTTGTACATTATAATTACAAAAATTAAACAAATTATTACATTATAAATGGGTTGTGTTTTCTTACGTGTTACACAAACCATTAATATCGAACATGTATATGTATTACATTACATTAATGGCTCACATCCATAATGAAAAATCAAACATGTATATGTAGTACATTGCATTAATGCTCAAATCCAAAATAAAATCTCTAACAATCTTCTATGGTTACAGTACAAATATTGATTTTTCATTATGGATGGTATATAAAATGAAAAGTATTTTTGTCATTCGATATAAAGTTGGGATGCTAAGAGATAGACATGGAGATACTTATAAATTGAAATGAGTTGAGTTAACATGACTAATTAAACAAGTAAATTCGATTAAATAATTTGAGTCCGCAATCCTGAATCTTGCACGATTAATTAAATGAATTAATTACAACTAATTAAATGGATTATTATTATTTTTTTTAACAAACAAACAAACAATATCATAGAAATGGAAATGAAACATAGTCAGGGAGGAGAGCATTTAAAAACCACGGGGGCCATATGTTTCACTCCAAATCATCACATTCAGCTTTAAGAGCCTTTTTGCTCAATATATGAGCCACAACATTTCCTCTACGAGGAACCCAAGCTACTGAAGATCATGTGCAACGCTTCAGAAGAGAAAGGACATCATTAAACACCACAATTTGAGCTTCCATCGGGGCCTTCAGCTTTATGACCGACTTACTGTCCCCTCGCCCAACTTTTAAGGAGGACTAAAGAATTTCTGAGAGCAAACATGATCAAAGAACACCGAGGAAAGCTTAATGGGATGGCCAAGATGATTTCTTAGAATCAAGCCCCCACTACAAATCCTTCTGGCAGAATTGTATGCTGCATCAAAATTGAGTTTAAAACCACTAACCACCGACGCCAACCACCTTTTCGATGGAGAAGGAGACGGAGAAGGGGAAAAAGAAAGGAGACTATTCTGATGAAAAACCTCTCGGAATTCCTGAAAGTTCATGAGAGCTTTCTAAGCAGCTTCGAATGGATCCCACCTCTTCTTCTTGAAAACAAGATCATTTCGACATTTCAATGAAGTCCAACAAATAAAGGATGTCATACATATACATTCATCAGAAACAGTAGACGACTGCCAACGCTCGCATAAATCAACCCATCATTTTTTTCCAGAATGAATGCGGTTGGACACTAAGTTTCCATATAAGACAAGCAAAAGGTAAAAGCAGAGAAGATTGTCTACCGTCTTAGCCGAACTCTCACAAAAAGGACAATCAGGGATCGCAACAACCCCCCGAAGGCAAAGCAATGAATTCACTAGGATTCAATTGTGAAAACTCTGCGATAAAAATAGTTGAATTTTTCAATAGGCTTGGTTTCTCCACAAACTACCAAAATCGGCAGCAAAACTACATTCCTCTTCAGGACGAACACCCTGCACTTTATTAAGAAATGAAAGGGCAACATAATAAGCAATTTTTACTATAAAACCTCCATCTTTCGAGGCACCCCACACCTTGGAATCAGCCCTTCTCAACAAGCTGAGGGGAATTTGAAGCTTTAGCTCTCGATCCTTCTGATTGAAAAAATTACCCACTATTGTATTCCATACTTGTAAAGATGGAATAATAAGATCAGCAACTATTGAAAAATTCGCCCCATACTGTTTAGAGGTAACAGAGAGGTTTAAGATGTCAGACAACCAATTATCTTTCCAGCAATTAACCAAAACTCCATCCCCTATACGCCACTTCATCCCTTTTTTAATAACATCCCTAGCGGATAGAATACTTTCCAAACCCACGACGCATTTGAACGGCTTGGGGAGTCCACAAAACTACAATTTTTGAAATATTTCTTTTTGAAAGACCTGAATAACATGGAATTATCCCTAACTTCCTTCCTCCAAGCTAACTTGGCGAAAGTTTCAACATTCTTAAAACCAATCTCGCCTTCTGCTTTAGATCTACAAAGGTCGATTAAATGGATTAATTGAATTGATATGATTATGACATGAACACGACTAATGTCAACTCAAATCTGTTAATTCTGTGTTGAGTTTGAATTTAATTGAGTGCAAGATTTATTTAGTTTGTAATAAAACAAGGAAGTGACTATATTACCAAATCAGCAAGGAAAAAAGACCCGATTGAGCTTGACTCTAGTCCGACTTTGTGAAATGACTTGAGAGGTATAAGATAAGTGGGAACCGAAAACGACGAAAGTGAAATACCTCTACTTTTCACATTATTTTACTTATTCTATGAATTGGAGGCAGGACAATGCCCCTTTTTTTGGACCTAACGCTCGCCTTGGCGGGCCCATACGAGCGAAAAACATTGTCACGCACGGTCCGTATTTGTATTGGAAATTAGAATCAAACGAGCTTTTACCCTTCTGTTTCACATGAGATTTCTGTTCTTGTTGAGCTCATCATAGGACACATGCATTATATTTTAACAGATGTGCCGCTCAACAAAACTCCCCACATGATTATGTCTTTCGATCGGATTGGCCCACCAAGGCGAGCCTTGGGTCCAAAAAGAAGGGCAATGCCCCGCCTCCAAAAAGTAGAAGAAATATAATAAAATAATGAAATGAGTACACATCATCCATAGCTCAAGAGTGGAAAGAATGACGAGATTAACTGAATTTGGAATAAAATAAGGAAGTGATTGAGTACACATAGTTCATTGTTAGAGGGTGGAAAAAATGGAATAAAATAAGGAAGTGACTACACGTGGAATAAAAGAAATAAAAAAAGACATCAGTACATGATGGTTTGTTGCCGCACCACAAGCTTAGAGAGTGTGCATTAAGGCGAGGGCCAAGTTTTACATTTATAGAAGCCACTACTACCTTCACTAAAAATATAGTTAGGGTGAGTAGGGATCGTCCCAAGGGATTGGAGTCAAATTTGGTTGTGGAATCACTATTAAGGTTAGTAGGTCGAGTGATCAAACAAATAGTTGGTTGGTTGATTAAACTAGAGAATAAATTAAACTAAATAATTGAATGCAACAAAGAGTAAGTAAGAGAGAGAGTTCTTGGGGTTTAGAGGTCACCACCAAACAATGCTTTTCTACACCCTTAACAAGTGACTAAAGAGGGAAATGTGTGTTGCAATATTGATGTGTGTGTGTGTGTTGGTTGATTCAATTAGCAATGGTGACCAATTAAGTATATATTGTCTAAGCAACATGTGAAAAGCACAATATATCTAACAATTAAGTATATATTGTCTAAATAGCATGTGAAAAGCACAATATATCTAGCAAGTCATTAATCATTTCATTAAGCTCACAAGCCAAATACACCACAAAGTTAGAGATATGTGCTACTTGCATTCAAAAGTATGGAATATCAAACAACAAGCATTGATTGTCCTCCCATCTAACAACTATGCTACCACTACAATTAAGCTAATGACATGCAATTAAACTAATTAAGCTAAGGGAGAGGCACAATCCATCAAGAAATGAGCATGAACCATCTAGAAAATTACAAGAGCATTCCATTAAGCACTATGTTTTGACAATCTCTAGATCTATGGCATTAATACACATAGACATGCATCAATAACACAAGAAATAGAGACAAACACATAAACGTCTATTCTAGCATACATTGATATATGGATAGAATGAAATGATCAATTAGAAGCATTAAACCACATAAATAATTGAATAAACAAGATCTATATATATAAAAGTGTCAAAACATGTATTACAACACTAATCCCTCAATAATACACAAAATCAAGATGTAGAAAGCATGCTTGGGGCTAACTCTAGCCCCAAGAGGATGTCTAGCCACTCATGGTAGTGCTTCTCCAACCCTCAAGGGCTAACTCCATGGTAGAGATTTGCTCCTTGGTTGATGAAGAGTCTCCAATGGTGTCTCTAGCCTCCTCATTCTTTAAGCTTCCTCTCCAAGAGTTCTTACAAGGTATGATATGATATGATATGATATGATTTGATATGATGTAAAAAGTAATCCTTATCCTTATATAGGTAGGTCAAATGACACCCAAAATAAGCTGGGGTCGTACAACAACTATTCCCCAATGATTGGATAAAGGACAACTTTTTGTGAGCTGGAAATTTAACTTTTTTGCAGTGGAGGAAGTTCGATCGATCGAACCTTGGACTTGGATCGATCGAACATGGCTGAGATCTATCGAACTTAGGCTGGATCGATCCTTAATGGCGGTGATAAGCGCCGAATATTGCATATTCAAGCGCCCTTATTTGCATTATTTAAGTCCATTATTTTATCATATTGCATATTCTAGCTTCACTTGCATGCTTTTGTTTATTT